GGGAAGGATTATGCAGACTGATTAACCATCACATGTCTTCTCATTTCATTAACAGGTTTAATGTGGGCAGTGTTAGTATGGTGAGCCAAGGGAATACTTCTCTGCCTCAGGGCAAGATATGAACATCAATAAGAGCAGATTCTACACCAACAAATTCACAAATCCTGTCCAGATTCAAAAGATGGAGGAGGCCTTACACATTAAGGCTGGTCAACTACCCTTCACCTACCTTGGCGCAACTCTTTGCAAGGGAATCCTCAGAAGAGAACATTGCAGCAGATTAATTGATCACTTCCAGAAACATCAATCAAATGGGAAGACTGATTTTGATTAAACATGTCCTATCCTATATACCTTTACACCATCTTGTTGTTAACCTTTTACCCATGTCTATCATTGCTCACCTTCACTCTCTCATGAGCAACTTCTTTTGGGGAAGCACCTTGGGCAACCCCAATTACCACTGGAAAAGCTGGAATTTTATGTGCCAACCCAAACAGGCAGGAGGGCTGGGAATAAGGGATTTAGAGTCCGTACAACGGGCATACTCCCTCAAATTATGGTGGAAGGTTCACACTGACAATGGATTATGGGCCACTTATATGCGAAACAAATATCTCAGAGTAAATATGGTGAGGGAAAGATTCACTGATTCTTCTACGTGGAAGAGGATCTGCAGGGTAGATCACATCGCTAGGGATCACTGGTCTTTGACAAACAACCTCCCTAGATGGGATGGGGGAGCTTTCTCCCTAAAGAATGCCTTTAAGAGCCTTTATGGGGGTGAGTCAGAACTCCTTACTGCCAGGTTTATATGGCACAAAACACAAATCCCGAAACTCAGAACCTTTATGTGGAAAGCTCTTTATAACTGCCTCCCCTTCCCAAGAAACCTCCACATGTTTAACTATCATCTCCCGAGCATCTGCACCTTTTGTAAAATCCAGGAGGATAGTCTTGATCACTCTCTACTCTCTTGTGAATACAGTAAAGCTATTTGGAATTACTTCGCTAATTTGGTTGATGGTCCCATTCTTCGGTCACCAAATACCTTGCGCGAACACCTTCTGGCATGGTGGTTTACAGGAAATCAGAAATCTTTCAAAGGAATTCTCAGACTGATTATTCCAGCGATTATCACCTGGATTCTTTGGAAAGCTAGGAAAACTTACCTCTTTGAAGATAAGGTCATCTCTCAGAGATCCATTACATAGCAGAGCTTCCAACTGATCCAAAGTTGGTGCTGGATCAACAGAAACCGCAAGTGGATGACCTATGATGCTGACTTCAAAGGATGGGGATTGGATCATTTCTGGCGCAAGGGAAAGAATTAAAAAAAAAAATTTCCCGCTTTGATGTTTAATGCCTCTCTTTGTTTTCTTTGATCTTCTTTTAATTTGGTTGTAACTTCTTTTTACTCTCTTTTAATAAACACCTTTTAATATATATATATATATATATATATATATATATATGGGATTGACTCCAGTCAGATGACAAGTTTCGGTCACATGACACTTTCGGTCAGATGACAGCGTATGGTTCATTATGGATCAATGTAGTGCTCATTCTAACCCAATGTAGGGTTCATTCTCACACAACTTTTCATCACAACGTTCTGTTCATTTAAAAAAAAAACATAGTGTTCATTCCAAGTGAGGCAATTGACAACATAGGGTTCATTTTGAATAACATGATCTTCATTCTAAAATAACGTAGGATTCATTCTCACACATTTCCTCATTATAGACTTAGTACTCATTCTAAAATAACATAGTACTCATTCCATGTTTGCTCAACAAAGTGTTCATTCTGAAACAACACAGTGCTCATTGTCAAACAAGCTAGTGCTCATTCTGAAGCATGTCATCTGACTGAAAGTGTCATCTGACCGAAACATGTCATCTGACGGTAGTCAAACCCTATATATATATATATATATATATATATATATCTCCCTATTTCTTTAAGCGCCTATCGCTAGGGGTGTTCAATCGGATCGATCCGATCCGATCCGATTTGAAAATTCGGATATCCGAAAATTTCGGATCATGCAAAACTCATTCTATATCCGATCCGAAAATATTCGGATATCCGAAATTCGGATATCCGATTTTTCGGATCGGATCATAGGATTATCCGAAAAGTTGAGTTTTTAGCCAAAATTTACAAAAAAAAAGGTAAAATAGCAAAATCAACCCAAAATATCAAATTCAATATAGATTTACTAAAAGAAAAATTCCACCACTTGGTAATGGCCTAATAAAAAAATGATACCAAATTTAATTTGGGAGTAACTTTGGTAATTTTGCCTAAACAAGCAAAAAAACACTATTAAAACAAAAAATTCTAAAATGCTAATGCAAAAAGTCCAAAATGGGTGATTTCCAAAATCAACATAAAATTACATTTAAACATATAGTCATAATATATATCCATAAAATTCCAAAAACATATAGCAAAAAAAAANAAAAAAAAGGTAAAATAGCAAAATCAACCCAAAATATCAAATTCAATATAGATTTACTAAAAGAAAAATTCCACCACTTGGTAATGGCCTAATAAAAAAATGATACCAAATTTAATTTGGGAGTAACTTTGGTAATTTTGCCTAAACAAGCAAAAAAACACTATTAAAACAAAAAATTCTAAAATGCTAATGCAAAAAGTCCAAAATGGGTGATTTCCAAAATCAACATAAAATTACATTTAAACATATAGTCATAATATATATCCATAAAATTCCAAAAACATATAGCAAAAAAAAAAATCGGATATCCGATTATCCGAAAAAATCCAAAAATTTAATCCATATCCGATCCGATTTTTTTCGGGTATCCGATCCGAAATATCCGCAAGCTAAAATATCGGATCGGATATCCATTTTTCGGATCGGATCGGCCCGGATCGTGGACGGATATTTCGGATCGGATATTTTTGAACACCCCTACCTATCGCCGTTACCTTAGTCTTTTTGCCGTTTGATTTAACGCCTCAGTGCCTCTCTCCGTTTCATCTAATTTGCACGAAAAATGAAGGCTATTGGTCACTTTGCCGCCCACCGCCCCACGACAATGCCTTCTTCGCCGTTCACCGCCCCACTATCGACCACTACCTTCGTATATCTTCACTGGGATGCATTTGCCTCTTGTATCATCTTCATCTTTATCGGAATTGCTCAGCTTCCTTCGGCAAACGCTAGGTAAACCTCCCCCTTCTTTTTCCAATTATTCCTGCACCATTTTTCGGCCAATACTTGTGCACAGCCGATAAAAAAATTGATGCAGTCTTTGATTTTGGATTCCTTCCTCAAATTTCTAGGTTCTCAAAAAAAAGGTATTAGTTTACTTGGGGTTTCGATTGTTCCCGGTATTAGATTGGATGAGCACACAAATAAAACTTGTATTAAAGTAATTTTGTTATTATGAATTGATTAAAACCTTTTACAAATTACTCATGTGGGGCACTTGCTCTATCTGTTTTTGCAAACGAGTGGTTGGGTTGTGTTTGAAACCATAAACATAACAAGGTCTATGGAGCTAATATGTTAACTTTTGTTGCTGATGTGGTGCCATGTTCCCTTGCTTTGTGCACACATGGCACAGTGAGACCTTTGTTGCTAATGTGTGACTCACTTTTCTGATTTTAGACATCACTATGAATTGATTAAAACCCTTTTACAAATTACTCATGTGTGACCATTACATTAGCTCAATCTGCATGTGACCATTAAACGAGAATGAATGAAATTATGTTCAAAGAATAGCTTTGTTAATTTGTAATTACAAATAATATGATGCTTCGGAGTCATATACAAAGCATACCATAATGATAAGTGGACAGCAAATTTAATATTTGTAATGCTTTATGAAGTCTAAACTGTCTCTTTGATCCATAATTTGGAACATCCTAAGAATATACCTAAAGAATAAAGTACCTTGATTAAACCTCCTGAATTCGAGCTAAAACCATTGACCTGAGATCTTCAATGTGCTTACCTAGATCTAAATGAGACTCTACCTCTGATCATTTGAAGGAAACTGAATGAAGAAGAAGAAAGTAGACTGTTTGGGTTGTACAAACTATTTGGTGGAGAAATTGGATGGACCCCATGAGACCTAAAAGGCAGAAGTCCAGCCCTAATAATAATGTCTACATCCCCAAACAACAATTTAACCACTCACTCTAGGAATGAGCCTTTTACAGTCCTCTGTTTGAACAAGAAGGTAGACTCTTTGGGTTGTTCAAACTGTTTGCTAGAGCAATTGGATGGACCTCATGAGACCTAAAAGGCATAAGTCCAGCCCTAATGATAATGTCTAGATCCCCAAACACCAAATTTATTACTCACTTTAGGAAAGAGCTTTTCACTGTCCTCTGTTTGCATCCGGGTTGTAGTAATCTGACTCTCCAAAGTGAAAGGGAGCTTACCTTTACTCATATTAGTAAGCTAAATAAGGTACACAACAGATTACACCCTTATCCTGCACATGAATATCTTCAATAACATCAGACTTTGTAGGAAAATGAATGCTACGGAATATCGCCCTTTGTAAATTTAGCTATCTTCTGACCCTTATTTTTCTTTGGCCATAATTGGATCCAATGAAATAAGTGCATCCAGATACCTCAGCTCTTAGGCTGTTTCTTTTCCCTATTTTACCATTGGTCAGCTTACATGATTCTACCTTTCCCTTAGATCTCTCTCCACCACAATCCTTTAAAAAATTTAGCCAATAGTCTACTACTAAAAATACTTAGGCATGAATATATCGCAAAGATCCTGGTTAGGTACTCTATAAATATACTTAGTCATAAATATATCACATGAACACTCCAAAATATGGTTGATGAGAGAATGCAGTGAAACAAAGGAGTGTAGCGAGATGAATGTGCAGGTTATTACTTGTGCTCTTCGCTAAAACAAGATCTAGTCTTGTCATCTGGCTTTACATGTCTTTGGTAAATGGGAAGTTTTAAAAACAGAATTTAACAGTACTAGAATGTATTCTTCCTCACACTTCCAAAAAAGTCTACCAAAAAATCTTTATTTTCACTTCAATTTCACAACGGAAGATACGTGGACCGTTTGACCACTTAATTCCATATGTAGATTGTTTGAATATAATTCACAGACATATACATATACATATATATATATGTCCACAAAATGTATATTAAAAATTATGATATGGCACATTATATCATATGGTCAATTTGATGAATCATGATAATAAATATTTAATGATAATTACATGATGGCACATTTAATTTAATCAATTTGATTGTTCTTGATGATGATTACATGATGCGTAATTGCTTTCACACATAGTCATGATGATTTTACTTGATGATGATTTCATACTGTATGTTTCTAACGAGCAAGGACACCCTTGCGCTATGAGATTCGCCCATTTGGTACGACGAACTCACGCGGCCTTAGTCTCTCAAGGGAGACTAGAAAGTAGGGGTGGTACTCGAAGTCTGAATACCATGTACGTACACTAAGCCCGGAACGGGTGATGCCGGACTAGTAAGTCCCGCACATCACACTATAAGAGACGCAATTAAGCATGATCTCTTACGCATGCACATGATGTGATATGCTTCAATATGGATGATGAAATGAATCATATGATATGAACAATTTGTAAACAATATGGATGGAGAAATATACATCAATTTATTTGAGTGAAATCTGATAAAAATATCATTTAATTAAGCTACGGGGTTCGGAACGGTCGACCGTTTGGCGGGACGGTCGACCTTGATCTTCTTTGCGTTGAGATGCCGGATTACCGTGACGGTCGACCGATGTTGACTGGCTGCGGATGGCAGACTTCGGCTGGACGGGCGGCGGTCGACTGTTAGCCACCGGAGGTCAACTGTTTGGCTAACAGTCGTGGTCCGTTTCGATGTTTAACGCGACGATCGACCGTTTGCGTCAACCGTTATGGTCTACGAATCTTACTCTTGATATTTTGTGTGTCCAAAAATACTTCTTTAAGTCTTTTAAACACCTTTGATTAAATATTTATATATACTTAGGTATATACTAGCATTCTTCCACGCGATGCGTGGATTATGGTGCCCGACATTATTTCTTATTAAGAATGAGTAGTATGTTTTTTCTTTGTAGAAGTGTGGATTGAATGACAATTTTAAATATAGTAGTTGAAGTAAATAACAAACGTAGTTTGAAATTCATATTTGTGTGTGAAACCAAAGTAGTGCGTCATCCACTGTATGTACTCTTAGTTATCCAGTATCACTACTTTCACCAGTTTGGTCACCTCAATATACTGAGAACACAATATAAAATACAGAATCACGCGTGATAGAAACTTTGTACTAAAGTAATATGAATTTGCTTGTAACCTAATTTTGTTTAATCTTGGATCAGAAAATAGTACTCCATATGTGTCCTCCATGAAATTTTTGTTTGATTTTAAGTGACAAGTTTATGGTGTTTATATCGTTAACAGAGGGGTAATGCTCATTTACTACAAATGGAATGGAACATAAACAAGAGGAAAAGTACTTGTGCAAATAGTAACTTGTGTTTTAATTACTGAGCTTTTTGCAGTATATATATTGTGCACTATATGGGTGTAAGTTGATAAGCAATGGGCCATTCATGAGAGGGAATGTGATGCAAGCACATTCTGCAAAGTATTGTGAGTAAGTTCCTCTGTGTTTTGTGTGTCTAAGACACCATAAACTTGTACATTAGCATTGTAATGTTAGTATATTCCCTCAATAAATCATTTATCTTTTAATTAAGTAATCATTTACTTGGCAATGTTGTTGCACCATTATGTCAAGGGATTGATACCTTTTGCTTAATTGACATGCCTGAAACCCAATTAAGAGAAGTTGGTGAATTTAGATTATCAGCATGGGCATGAAATTTGATTTTGAAAAGTAGTTTAGATAGTCATAGAAAGCAAGACATTAACATTATAAGGTGATTGATCCTTTAAATTTAAGATTTAGTATAAAAGACGAAATGCAAGTGTTGTAAAGGAAAAACATGCAAAAGCATACATAATTTTATAAATAAGAAGCAAGAGTGAGTACAATCCAGTTACTCAAAAAGGACATAAATATACAAGGAAATAAAAGTAAGCATAGTTGTCTTGATTAAACAGGTCCAGGGACTTTCCATTCTTATGGCTGTATTCAACTGTAGGTTATATTTGAGATTAAAGTAAGCATACTTGTCTCCAAAAATGAGCATGATTCCTGGACAGCATTTCAAAAAGCACATGAAGAACATAATGGTAGTAAGAGAACACCAGTTACTGTGAATGAGTAAGATGTAAAATACTGGCCTTATTTTAATCTGTTGTACATTTTTATCTGATATGGAATAGAACATTGTATAATTCTTGACGTTGAACACCTTGTATATGCTGATCAAATCTGATCAAATCAAAAATAGGATGCACGAGTAAAAACATGAACCGTTACCAATACAGGTGCCACATAAAATAATATTCCCTCTGTCCTAAAACTTTTTTCCCACTTCCCCTTTTTCTCCGTCCTAAAACTACCTTCCCATTAGAAAAATAAAGATGACAAATGACATTAATACCCTCATGTATTTACACCAATTATCTTCTAACTCTATATTTTGAATGATTGTAGAAAAAAAATTTCAATAAATCTTTTTTAAGGAGGGTAAAATTTGAAGTCAAAACCAAAAATTAAAAATGGGGAAACGTCAAACTGGGAAGAAAGAATTAGGACGGAGGGAGTATATGATAAGTGAATATCTTACCTGTCCTGCTAGGTCAGGAATTTTCCATTTGCATCATGAAATCCACAAAAGTGGTAAAGAAATGAAAGAAAAAGGGTACAAAGTAACAAGGCATGCAGCCCGAAATTAAATCCAAACAGTCACCATGGTATGAGGTGATGATTTGGTGGGTATTGCTGTTCGTGGTCTTTTGCCATCTTCCCTTGGTGCTCCTGGAGGGCCTAGGAAGAGAAATGGCCCGTCGTATCCCTCACATTCTAGTTTTGGTTCGCCCGCACCGTCGACAATGATGCCTTCAATTAGGGGTGGTCTTGATCTTCTAGTGTCGTTCTTGACATTTCATGATGAGGTTTTTCTTGTGTAGGTGTGCTTTTGAGCGGGATGGAGTTAGGGGTGACCTACTCAGAAATCTCAGTATTCATAGGGTCAGTTAACAATGCAAATCGGTTTTGAGTTGGAATGTTTGGGTTAGAAATAACTTCATCATCCCCACTAAGTGAATTGTCATGTGAGTCATCCAGTACATCCTTTTGGAGCATACTGTGTGCATCACAAGCATCAGGGACATTTGAATCTGCAATTAAGGGGGCGGGTGTGTNGGCTGTGGAGTACAGTGGCTTCGTCAAACATTTGGTGAACAAACTGGCTAGTCCTTGTTGGTAGATGGACAGTTAGGGGTGGCGCGGGAATGCGGGATCAGTTGGACTTACAACATCCTTTCCCAGAAAACTTTCAGCAACAAAAGGAACAGGCAGTAAAGGATCAGTTGGACTTACAACATCCTTTCCCAAAATATTTTCAGCAACAATAGGAACAGGTAGTGAAAGTGAAGCATAAACCTTGGTGCATTGTATCTTTCCAATTAGGATGGTAGGGTCCTTTAACTGCTCATTGTCATCACTGCAGGTTTGTACAAGAGGAACCAGACCTTCAAGTAAAGCATCAGTAGGGCTAGGAATCCTAATTGGAGAATTAGGAACAGAAAAAATATTATCAGCAATATTCGGAGCATCAGAAATACCAACAGCATGATTAGGAGGATTATGGGCAATAACAGAATTAGCAGCCAATCCTTGATCAATGGGCAGAGTTATACAAGGGTCAGGAACCAAAATCATTACAGAATCATTCAAGCCTCTGCCGGGCAGCTTACCCTCCCTCCTAAACCATCTAGAAGATTTCCTAGGAATTTTGCACTTTTTATGGCCTAAAGCCCTGCAAGAAATGCAATATTCAGTCAAATCTTTGTATGTAATAATAGGCTGGAGGAAGGATAATTGACCAGGGTGAATCCAAACAGCTTTAGGCATATCTTTAGTCGGGTCCAGTTCAACACACACCCTTGCCACCGAGGGTCTAGTAAGGTTCAATGTGGCAGAATCCATTTGGAGGGGAAGACCCAACAGGTTAGCTATAAAAAAAGGGCATTGGGTTCAAAAAGGTGAAGAGGAAGACCCTCTAGACCTATCCAAACAGGAGCAAGCAGTGAATAGATAGAAGGGTCGAAATCACAGGTCCATCGACACACATACATTTTGTAGCCACATCCATGTATGCATGCATGCATGCATACATACATACGTACGTACGTACGTACGTACGTACGTACGTACATACGTACATGCCTGCATGCCTGCATGCCTGCATGCCTGCATGCGTGCATGCGTGCATGCCTGCATGCATGCATGCATGCATACGTACGTACGTACGTACGTACGTACGTACATACGTACATGCCTGCATGCCTGCATGCCTGCGTGCATGCGTGCATGCATGCATGCATGCATGCATGCATGCATACATACATACATACATACATACATACATACATACATACAGACATACATACATACGTATGTAAGGTTGAAGTTTATGTGTGGATATGTATATAGAAGATACAGAGAAGTTATTGTAAATAATACTCACTCACTAATATAAAAATGAAGAAGAAAATCAGAAGCGTAATATTTCAGTCACTAAGACTAAAACTTAGAGCCACATGAAGTACAGAACACATCTCAAAGTATTTGAAGGTACTGCAGAATGATTGATAGCATTAGCCTTCAGGATTCATTTCAAAATGGACTATTGTGACAATAAAGATCAACATTAATCCCTAAGAAGCAATAGTGCAAATCCATAGATTTTCTAACACACAAACAAAGTTCAACCAGATTGAAACAACACATAACTAAAAGCTGTTACACAATACTAAAGGATTTTTTGAACAAAGACACCCTTATTCAGTGGCTGTCAAGGATACAAACAGCAAACACATTTATTTTCGACTGTAAAATTTAATTTTAAAAGATCGTTGAAGCAAGACACATAGTGGAAGCATTCACACCACAACCTCATATGAAAAAAGAATTGAGAATTTGTATTATGGTAAATATTGACTAACGAAATACTGATCAAAACATCCAATTATAGTATTATACCGCTGAATACATATCCAAATTTGAGCATTGTTCCATACATGTATTTCCAATTATTGTTTTTTATAGGTGTTACATTTCAGAAATAATGGATGAAATTTAAATTACCTGTAGAATGATTTGCCAAATAGTTGCAGGTTCAGCCGTACCTGTAGGTGAAAAAAATCCTTCTTTACTTGCAATAATAGAAACAAACAACAAATAGAACAACAACCCAAATAACTCATATCATATTACCTAAGAGAAATTTTGGAGATGGTGCATCATCCCATCTCCTAAAATCGAATATAAATAACTCATTTGAAAGTTTTTGAAAAATTAACGTGCATGCTAAAATAATTGGGCAGGATAATTAAAGAAACAATCCCTAAATAGAAGATGAGGAATCAGAAAAAACATTTTATTCATACCAAGAAATCTGTACATCTGATATAATTACCTTGTTATTACGATTGACTATGATGGCTTCCTGATGCATCGCCAACAATTCCGTGTATTCCTATATTTAGTTGGAGGCGTAAGACAAAGGAGGTGCTGGTGATTAAGTCCAGGTGTCTGAAACGCAACGCACACAATCAGCAAATCCGGGGTTGAATACGCTAAAAATTCGAATACACAAGGGAAATATGATCTTGATTCTAATAGATTACTAAGGCTTAGCCGGCAATTATGCTTATTTCACCGGGAAGACAGGATGGTGGACGAGAGGGATTCAGGGTAGAACATCAGGCATTCTAATTTCTAAGGGGAATTGACACTTGACAGTTAAGAGGTCTAGGAAGTAACCCCGTAAGGGTAATTTACGAATAAAAATGCCGGGTACAACATAAAAAGCTACCAGTACATTTAATTTTGACGGAAAAACTACACATTAATTTGTGGGTACCAAACCATTGTTGACATTTATAAGATATGTAAGATATGTTAACTTTATGGATTTGGTATATTTTGGTCTTAACACAAAGATGACTAATATATGTATCACATATATATTTTGGGATGATTTCAACATATGGATTAACATATATGTTCATGTACGTATGTGATTAATGATTCGACAAGTCTAACGCAAAGGTACAGACCTGGAAATCATCGGCCGAAACCTTACGGATGAGCGGGAGTGGAAACAACATCGAAATTCACCAACTTTGTCATTCCCGTCACAATTGGACAGCATGCGGTATTTTGAGCATATCTCCATCGTTTCTTCACGAAATTGCAAACCGTTTGATTCTGTGGATTCCTAAGATGTAAGGCTATAACTTTCGTATAGAAAGTATTTCGAATTAACAGATGTAAAATAGCATAAATTGGATTTGAAGTCAAGGGATAGTTGCTGTCCAGGATTTTGTATATGTCGATGAACAATGATTCCAAAGATTAACTTCTTTATTTCAATATTCCAACACCAAATCTTCTCTACGATACCTTCCGGATGTTCCTAATAATCGTCAGAGAGTTTATGGGAAGTATTTGGAATGAAACAAAATGAATATGGTGAGGAAACATAGCCAATCCCGAGGAGCTCGCCACCACTGGCGCAGTCCCGGTATTTTGGCCATATCTCCTTCGTTACTAAACGAAATCGCGAGCCGTTTGTTGGGCTGGATTCGTATCGTTCGGGGGCTAAAACTTTGGTTCAGAAAGTATTTTGAGATAGTGGATGGAAAATTTCAGTTTTTACCTTAAAGTGGGCTGCTGTGTTTGAACTCAGGATTTTAGAAAACTTTGGATGGTTTCTTGCTTGCTTCTCCTTCTTCCTTAGCATATATTAATGGAGTTGGTGTGTATTTCTCCCTTGGCATGCTTCCGACAGAAAGAGAGAGATGGAGAGGAGAGCTGATGGATGATGATGGTGGAACATGATGATAATAATGATAATGATGAAGATGGTGGTGGAGTATTATATGATAATTTTGGAGGCTTATGTTAGTGGAGTTAGTGGAGATTGAAAAATGGGCTTGTGAGATATCCCTTGGTTGGCTACGTGATTTGGGGAGATATTTGAGAATTAAGTTTTGGCTTTTAGCCAAAACTGAACAATTTACTCTAAACGATACGCGCTTTTTCGCCCAAACTGCTCCGAATTGAAAACGGATTGTACTTTTGGAATCAGACTGTCAAAACTAGAATTGTGACGTAATCAAAATATTTTTCTGAGAACTTTTATTTTTCTCAGTGTTCGGGTCTGTCTCAGTCATAAATTAATTTTGCAATATGAATGAGATATAAATATATAAGTTAAATCCAAATGATAATTACGGTGTTGTCAAGTGTCAAGAATTTAGATTCCAAATCTTATGAAGTCACTTTTGAATTGAGTTTATTTTATGGGTCAAAGTTACAAATTTTAATATGTAAAATCGTCATAGCTTGAAATCTATAAATCAGATTGGTTCATAAAATGTACCGTTGGATTCGTCTCTTCGAGACATATCCATAAAAATAAGTTTTTAACAAAAAGTCATTATCTTGAAAATCCATTTATTTTTGGTCAAACGTATAAATATTTCTTATTGGACAAAAATTACTTTTGTTTTATAATAAATTTTAGGCCATATTTTGTGGCGTTACATTTCTTCTCCCCTTAAAGAAATTTCGTCCCCGAAATTTCCTTAGGTGAAATCATTTAAAATGATGATGTACAAAATAATGAATATTCATTGTTTTTAAAACACAAATGTTGAAAAGTTGTTTTCTCTTTCTTTTGTTGAGTGTCATGATTATGACATGTTCTCTTTAGAGAAGATATACGCGGATGATAGATGTAACGTATTTGGATTTCTTTCACGGAGACTTGCATCAAATATACTCTTAGACTTGCTCTTGTCGTGTTGTAGGAGTTTCAGGAGTTCTTATATGGGTTGCGTTTCGTGAATGTGGGGTAATTTACAATGTTTCTGTTTTTTTAGAATTTCTTCTAATATCATCCTTAGACGACTTTGTCTGAAATGTTGATTTTACAAACTACGCTTCGTTGTGCACAAGCTGGAACACATTATTTTTAGGTTTTACGTTTTTACATAACGGTGTTTTTGGGAAATGACTATTACCATAGTCATCATTCTAGGTTTTCTAGATGAATTCGTAATTATATTTTCAAAACTTGAACTCTCATTAGCGATCCTTAATGGGTTGCTCTGGCTAACATGATGTCAATAAGCTGATTAAAGCTTGTTTGTAACAGTTAACACATATATCACACTTATATATAATAATAATATATGTTTTTATCATATTGAAATGATTGGATGAATGTTTTGATAACACTTGCTATTTTGTCACTATTTGTCTTATCAAGATGATATGTAGTCATTCTTGAATACTAATTTTCTGATTGATGATTCCAGAACTATCTTAGAATTCAAGACTTTCTCAATAATTATGATAGATGTTCATGCTCGAAAATTATAATATTAGTGTATTCGTCATATCACTAATATTCGTAACACAATAGTTAAATTACTTATTATAAAAAAACATGACAAGTTATACACATAGTCATATTCTAATACGTTTGTGATTCCACTGATACATGCGTGGTTTATGAAGATCAGTATCATAAAACATCTTTTTGGTTTGATGGAGAATTATGAGTTAAACAAGTTCTCAATGATTTGATAAAAAAATATATATGGAATTCAATCTTTTCAAGTTTGATCAAGTGAGATGTTTTAAGTGTGTAATTAACACAGCAAGTTTGAATATTTCAAGGATATAAGTCACAAGATACGAATATAGCGTTTGTGAATTATTGTGGCAAATAGTAGGTTTTCATCCTTTAATGTTTCACTCTTTCGAAGTTACTCAAGGGGTCATTGTCTTAGGTAAATAACCACTTAGACTCTTGGTCTCGGATTTGAATGTATTTCAGAATAATGAGCCTAACTATTCATGAGTCTCAATATGTCATGTCGTCAGCAGACTGTAGTATTGGCGAGTACGTTCTTGTCTGGAACAAATCCACTTTCCTGTATGTTTTTAGGCTGATGATAATTATCTCTCCGTTAATTGTCCTGTTTTAGAGTCTATATATATCAACTTGTGACAAGAGTGTCACACATTCTCACAATATGGAAGGAACTTCTCGAGCTCTTCCTAATACTATAAGATTCGTTGGTTTACTTGGTAGTCATGCTCTTGGTGGCAATCCAAGGTTCATGGCTACAGAGGTTGATCTAGGACGAGAGTTGGTAAGACGAAAAATCAGGCTTACCTACGGAGGAGGCAATGTTGGCCTTCAAGGAGCTGTAGCTTCAACAGTCTATAACAATGGTGGTAGACTCAGAGGTTTCATACCTGGGTATATAGCAACACGAGGGGTCTATGGACCAACATATGGTGCGGAGTACACCGTCTCCAGCAATTACTATAAGTATTTCAAGATGAATCATATTGTGGAATCCTTCATTGTACTACCTGGAGGAATTGACACTATGGAAGGTTTATTCACTTTGATCTCATGCGTATCCGAAGGGTTACACAGTAAACCCATTGGTCTTTTGAACATTGACGGTTATTTCAATAACCTAATCAGGTTTCTAGATGATGCAGTGAGACAGAACTTCATGGCTTTGAATCAAAGGAAACTGTTCATTTCTTCTTTCTCTGTTGATGAGCTTTTGGACAAGCTGGAGTTTGCTAATGCTTTCTCAGATCCTGGTGCCAGTTATGAAGAATTTGCAAATCCTGGAAGATTAGACTTAGAGTTGCATCAATAACATAATATTATCCATGTACATTATGCGTTAGTCATAGATATCGTTCTAAGCTGCATGACCAGTGCATTTCAGAAGAATATTTATTTCCAACATCAAAATGTACCATGTAAATATTAATCCTTTTCTTTATCTTCCAGCCTCTCATTGTTGGTGTGACTGTTTCACATCTTGTTTTGTAATGTCATCTTGTTGCGACCTTTCACGTCGAACGAGTCAATTATCTTAATGTTTGCATGTAGATCCACCCCTATAATGCGTTTCAGATTTGATACATATGCCGTATTTGATCTGGTTTGTGAGGCTCGATTCATGCTCTTAGAAAAACGACAGATTTACCTTGGGAGAATTTGTTCACTTCCTATCGGAGAAAACTCTCTCTTCAACGTATTCTTCGGCTTGATAGAAGTTGATTCACAAAGCCATTCGCGTACTATGAAATACGTATATGTCGCGCTTATCAGGTTTATAGTTCTTTCTTGATCTTCTGATGTCGACTGTGATCACTGAAGAATATTCCAAGGCAAACTAAACTTTATTGCAATTGGTCTATGAGGATATTAACAACTCAAAGGAAGAAAATTTCAATGAGTTAAGATTGTGTGTTATGCCATAGTAACTTACTTGTTGATTACCTTCCCGGGGCAGAGATGTCGCGAAGGATGCGGATGCAGGACTTGAAAATACTGACTCAATGATCCGAAAATCATTTTGCTCTGACACCAAAATGTAACACCCCAATCCGTATAACCCGGAATAACAAGAATTAAGGTGAAACAAGAGTTAAATAAAAATTTCACTTGACATTTGAAGATGACAATTTCTTATAAATATTAAATTTACAGACTCTGGATCGCGACCCATTTAAAAATATTTTCAGAGTAATGCGGAAGTACAATATTAATCAAATCATGACACATTTTAAAATCTGATGATCAAACATTTGCCTGCCATCCTTGCATCTCCTCTGACTTAATGTCCTCCGGGAGTGGTTTCATCATTGTCTTCTTGTTACCTACGTGTAGTCAACGAAAAATACAAAATACACGCTCAGCGAAACCGCTGAGTGGTACCACGCTAGAATTGTAGAATAATTCACAGACATATACATATACATACATATATATATATATATATATATATATATATATATATGTCCACAAAATGTATATTAAAAATTATGATATGGCACATTATATCGTATGGTCAATTTGATGAATCATGATAATAAATATTTAATGATAATTACATGATGGCACATTTAATTTAATCAATTTGATTGTTCTTGATGATGATTACATGATGCGTAATTGCTGTCACACATAGTCATGATGATTTTACTTGATGATGATTTCATGCTGTATGTTTCTAACGAGCAAGGACACCCTTGCGCTATGAGATTCGCCCATTTGGTACGACTAACTCACGCGGCCTTAGTCTCTCAAGGGAGACTAGAAAGTAGGGGTGGTACTCGAAGTCTGAATACCATGTACGTACATTAAGCCCGGAACGGGTGATGCCGGACTAGTAAGTCCCGCACATCACACTATAAGAGACGCAATTAATCATGATCTCTTACGCATGCACATGATGTGATATGCTTCAATATGGATGATGAAATGATTCATATGATATGAACAATTTGTAAACAATATGGATGGAGAAATATACATCAATTTATTTGAGTGAAATCTGATAAAAATATCATTTAATTAAGCTACGGGGTTCGGAACGGTCGACCGTTTGGTGGGACGGTCGACCTTGATCTTCTTTGCGTTGAGATGCCGGATTACCGTGACGGTCGACCGATGTTGACTGGCTGCGGATGGCAGACTTCGGCTGGACGGGCGGCGGTCGACTGTTAGCCACCGGCGGTTGACTGTTTGGCTAACAGTCATGGTTCGTTTCGATGTTTAACGCGACGATCGACCGTTTGCGTCAACCGTTTGGGTCTACGAATCTTACTCTTGATATTTTGCGTGTCCAAAAATACTTCTTTAAGTCTTTTAAACACCTTTGATTAAATATTTATATATACTTATGTATATATATGTTAACTTTATGGATTTGGTATATTTTGGTCTTAACACAAAGATGACTAATATATGTATCACATTTATATTTTGGGATGATTTCAACATATGGATTAACATATATGTTCATGTACGTATGTGATGAATGATTCGACAAGTCTAACGCAAAGGTACAAACCTGGAAATCATCGGCCGAAACCTTACGGATGAGCGGGAGTGGAAACAATGCAACATCGAAATTCACCAACTTTGTCATTCCCGTCACAATTGGACAGCCTGCGGTATTTTGAGCATATCTCCATCGTTTCTTCACGAAATTGCAAACCGTTTGATTCTGTGGATTCCTAAGATGTAAGGCTATAACTTTCGTATAGAAAGTATTTCGAATTAACAGATGTAAATCGCGTAAATTGGATTTGAATTCAAGGGATAGTTGCTGTCCAGGATTTTGTATATGTCGATGAACAATGATTCCGACGATTAACTCCTTTATTTCAATATTCCAACACCGAATCTTCTCTACGATACCTTCTAGATGTTCCTAATAATCGTTAGAGAGTTTATGGTAAGTATTTGGAATGAAACAACATGAATATGGTGAGGAAACATAGCCAATCCCGAGGAGCTCGCCACCACTGGCGCAGTCCCGGTATTTTGGCCATATCTCCTTCGTTACTAAACGAAATCGCGAGCCATTTGTTGGGCTGGATTCGCGTCGTCCGGGGATAAAACTTTGGTTCAGAAAGTATTTTGAGATAGTGGAACGAAAATTTCAGTTTTTACCTAAAAGTGGGCTGCTGTGTTTGAACTCAGGATTTTAGAAACTTTGGATGGTTTCTTGCTTGCTTCTTCTTCTTCCTTAGCATATATTCATGGAGTTGGTGTGTATTTCTCCCTTGGCATGCTGCCGACAGAAAGAGAGAGATGGAGAGGAGAGATGATGGATGATGATGGTGGAACATGATGATAATAATGATAATGACGAAGATGGTGGTGGAGTATTATATGATAATTTTGGAGGCTTATGTTAGTGGAGTTAGTGGAGATTGAAAAATGGGCTTGTGAGATATCCCTTCGTTGGCTACGTGATTTGGGGAGATATTTGAGAATTAAGTTTTGGCTTTTAGCCAAAACTGAACAGTTTACTCTAAACGATACGCGCTTTTTCGCCCAAACTGTTCCGAATGGAAAACGGATTAGATTTTTGGAATCAGACTGTCAAAACTAGAATTGTGACGTAATCAAAATATTTTTCTGAGAACTTTTATTTTTCTCAGTGTTCGGGTGTGTCTCAGTCATAAATTAATTTTGCAATATGAATGAGATATAAATATATAAATTAAATCCATATGATAATTACGGTGTTGTCAAGTGTCAAGAATTTAGATTCCAAATCTTATGAAGTCACTTTTGAATTGAGTTTATTTTATGGGTCAAAGTTACAAATTTTAATATGTAAAATCGTTATAGCTTGAAATCTATAAATCAGATTGGTTCATAAAATGTACCGTTGGATTCGTCTCTTCGAGACATATCCATAAAAATAAGGTTTTAACAAAAAGTCATTATCTTGAAAATCCATTTATTTTTGGTCAAACGTATAAATATTTCTTATTGGACAAAAATTACTTTTGTTTTATAATAAATTTTAGGCCATATGTATGTATATATATATATATATATATTTATGTATGTATGTATGTATGTATATATATGTATGTATGTATGTATGTACATATATATATATATATATGTATGTATGTATGTATATATATATATATATATATATATATGGGATTGACTCCAGTCAGATGACATGTTTCGGTTAGATGACACTTTCGGTCAGATGACAACGAATGCTCATTCTGAATCAATGTAGTGCTCATTCTTAAACAACGTAGGATTCATTCTCACACAACTGTTCATCACAATGTAGTGTTCATTCATAGCCAGCGAGACGACAACATAGGGTTCATTTTGAATCCACGTAGTGTTCATTCTAAGACATTGTAGGGTTGATTTTCACACATTTGTTCATTATAAACGTAGTACTCATTCTGAAAGAACCTAGTACTCATTCACAGTTTGCTCAGTGCAGTGTTCATTCTGAATTAAGGTGGTGCTCATTCTCAAACAAGGTGGTGCTCATTCTGATGCATGTCATCTGACCGAAAGTGTCATCTGATTGAAAGATGTCATCTGACTGGAGTCAATCCCTATATATATATATATATATATATATATATACATACATACATACATACATACATACATACATGTATATATATACATACATACATACATATACATGTATGTATGTATGTATGTATGTATGTATATATATGTATAGGGATTGACTCCAGTCAGATGACATCTTTCGGTCAGATGACAGTTTCGGTCAGATGACATGCTTCAGAATGAGCACCGCATTGTTTGAGAATGAGCACCACCTTATTTCAGAATGAACACTACACTGAGCAGACTGTGAATGAGTACTAGGTTGTTTCAGAATGAGTACTACATTTATAATGAACAAAGGTGTGAAAATCAACCCTACAATGTCTTAGAATGAACACTACATGGATTCAAAATGAACCATATGTTGTCGTTTCGCTGACTTGGAATGAACACTACATTGTGATGAACAGTTGTGTGAGAATGAATCCTACATTGTTTTAGAATGAGCGCTACGTTGATTCAGAATGAGCAATACGTTGTCATCTGACCGAAAGTGGCATCTGACTGGAATCAATCCCATATGTATATATATATATATATATACTTATATATATATATACATACATACATATATATATATACATACATATATATATATATACATACATATATATGTATATATATACATATATATTCAGAATGAGCAATACGTTGTCATCTGACCGAAAGTGTCATCTGACCAAAACATGTCATCTGACTGGAGTCAATCCCATATGTATATATCTATATATATATATATAGATATAGATATATATATATATATACAGATATATATATATATACATATATATATATATATATATACATACATACATACATACATATATATAGACACACACACACACACACACACATATATATAGGCACTTATAAAGCTGGCCACAATATTGGCTCTCCACCAATACTATAAGCAATAAGCGGTATCTAGCAACACATTATTGCCCCAGATTATAAGTTAAGACGTTTGCACCGTCAAAACCTTTCCACGACTCAAACTCCGTGTAACTGTATCCCTTTGTCTCAATGTCTAAACTTAATGCAAGGGATTAATAAAATCCAACTTGTATCAATTAAGTCATCATTCACTGATTTATCAAGTCTGAGTGACAGGAACAGACGTCATAAAAACATCTTAGCATGGCCATGCAGTTTCCTCAGTTATGACTTATCAGTGGGCCCCATAAGACATTAATCTCTTAAAAAGAGTAGTGACAAATCCTATGTACGTATTCTACGTTTCTGAATACGCGCTGCGGCATACCCAAAACAAAGCCTGTATACCATCCTTATTTCATATGGCTTAGGACAATGCATCAAAGCATGCGGGTTCACATATGAAGAAAACGTAATACTTCAAATCGAAGGATAGTTACACCCGTGGTCGTGCTAAAGATGCTTAGAGCATGAACTAAAAAATTCAAGCAACATCTTTAGGATGGGTAAGTTCGGCATCCTATTATCTCCAGATAATATCTACCCATGTGCGGATGCGAACACACCGTCATTGACTATGAGACTAAGTCAAACATCCAACACACACTAGTCTCACATGCATTATCGATATCCCACTCTCGTTAATACTTGACTATGGACATTTAGATAAATATTTATTTCAAGATGTTAGTCTCATCAGTAGAAAAATACTATCTGATACACATCTTTTAAATATAAACCTAGGAATATAATATTTGTTTACATTAGCATGAGATGTGTAACCATATTATATCTGCCTATACATGATAGAATAAGGATAAACAGTTGGCCATCAGGGCACAACTCCAACAACCTCCCACTTGCACTATGGCCAATCGGGCATCGGTCGAATGCCCATGGACCTAGTGTGACCCTCATGCTTTAGCTTTCCTAAAGGCTTGGTCAAGGGATCGGCTATGTTGTCGTCAGTATCTACTTTGAAAATCATCACATCTCCTCTGTCTACGATTTCTCGTATGATGTGATAACCTCGTACAATGTGTTTTGTTTTCTAGTGAGATCGCGGTTCCTTTGCCTGCGCAATGGCCCAGTGTTGTCGCAAAACAATGAGATAGGGTCATTAATACTAGGAACCACTCCAAGTTTAGTAATGAACTTCTTGATCCAAACAGCTTCTTTAGCTGCCTCGGCGGCAGCTATGTACTTAGCCTCTATAGTTGAATCGACGGTTGTGTCTTCCTTGAAGCTCTTCCAGCTAAAAGCTCCACCGTTCAAGCAAAACAAATATCCTGCTTGTGATTTTGAGTCGTCTCTGTCGATTTGGAAGCTAGCATCAGTGTAACCGACCACTTTTAGCTCTTCCTCACCACCGTATACCAGGAATGCACTCTAAGTATTGCGAAGATACTTGAGGATGTTCTTCACTTTTCTCTAACTCTTCCTTGAATGAGGCCCTTTGAGACTCCAGGGCTGATTCAACCAGCCCTTAAATCTTACTGGTCCAGAGTTTCGGCATCTCATCCAGAAGGGTAGATATGGACGAGGAGCTATGAAAATGGAAGTTTGTTACCTGTGTGGATAGACGAATTCCTTGAAAGCATTGCATGGGGAGAGATTCAGCTTCCTCTCTTTCGTCAGTATCTTCCTAATTGATTTTCTGAGTTCTTTATGATTCTTCCTCAGCTTCTCCATTTTTGTAGTTTGAGATTTTTTGGGAAATATGATTTCTCACTACTTCAGCATTTTGTTGCTCAAAGATAGCAACTGGAGTTTTAGCAACCTCCAAGCTGGCTATCTGAGCGTCTTCTCCTACTTCTTCGAGGCTTCTTTGAGCTTCTACTTCATGCTCTCTTCGAACTTCTTCTTCTTCAATTTTTGGAAAAGTGGACTTTGGGAGATCTTCCGAATGTTCTTCTGAATTTTCCTCAAAATGTTGATCTCCTCTAGCACCTGCCTGAATTTCAAGTTCTGCTTGATTGGAGATCTCACAAGTGGTTGTGAGGATCTCTTGAACTTGAAAAGTGAGGGAGTGATGAATTTCTTCTTCTTCAGCTGTTGCTTGGATCTGTTCAGGTTGAGGAATGACAAAGTCCTCCTGAACAGTTTCAATAAACTTAGTTTCAAATGCAGAGGAGTTTTCTGGAAGGGTTGGGAAATCCTCTTCTCCAACTATAAAGTCAACTTGAGGTTCTTCAGTGATGTTTTCAACCTGATTTTCAGTTGGTCTTCATCAAGTTGTTGAGGACTGTCTTGAGGATTGTTCTGCAGTGAGTTCTCCGGGTTGACATTTCCAGATGTGGAGGGAGTGGAGATCCTTCTCTTCTTTTTCATTTGAAGCTGTCCTTGAGCAGAGACCTCTTCCTCATCCAGATTGACCAATTCAAGGTCTTGTGGCTCTTCAGCACTGGGGGAGGAAGATACTACTCGCTTCCTTTTTGAGGCCTTCTTAAAGGTAACAGCTAGGACTTCATTTGAAGATCCGTCTTCAGCAACAGAGCTGGCTGTGTTTTCTCCTTTGCTTGATAGATAATACAACCAGTATCTCTCTTCATATTTCTTTGTTTGCAACTTCTTCTACGAAATCTTCACTCTTGTGTCTCCAACAGTTGATTTGATAATCTGAATAGACCTTCTTGGATTGGACGGTTTGGATTAATCCATTGGTGTAGAATTCCAAAACCTCTTCTTCATATTTGGAATGAATTTCTATATGGAGGAAATCCGAAAGTCCTTGCAATTCAATCATCTCTAGATATGCTTTGTAAAAAGCTAGGGATGAGCATTTTGCTTCCAGCTTCTTGAAGTGAACGTTAGCGCCTACAACCTTCATTTTTCTGAATTTTGTGAGAAGGAATTTCAGAGAAATTAGGGTTCCTCTGTGAATTCTCGCGAAGAAGACGACGGAGAGTTGAGTGGGCAGAGTGGGCAGTTGAGATCTGAGATAGTGGCGATTGGGTTTAATTTGGGCGATTTATACGGCTGGTGGCGATTGGGTTTTTAATTGTTCCCAAGGCCACGTGCTCACACGTTGCTTTATCAGACGTGGTATGTGTGCTACCTCGTGTACCGCACTTAGTCTAATAGAATTAGACCAATTTTCTCAAGCAACTCGGAAAACCTGGCTTCACTTAGTGGTTTTGTGAAGATATCCGCCAATTGTTCTTCGGTTGAGATGTACTCAATTCTGATATCCTTCTTCTCAACATGATCTCTGATGAAGTGATGCTTGACATCAATGTGCTTAGTGCAAGAGTGATTCACTGGGTTTTGTGAAATGGCGATAGCACTTTGATTATCACAGAATATTGTCACTAATTCCTTTGTTTTTACTCCATAGTCCAGTAGTCCTTTGTTTCTTACTGAACCAAGAAACAAGATTTCCGCCAATGATCTGACAAGTGCCAGAGGTACTTTTCCGGTCAACCTTACATACGGCAAAGTCAGAATCTGAGTATCCCACTAACTCAAATGAGCCGCTCTTAGCATACCATAAACTCATGTTTTGAGTTCCTTTAAGGTATCTAAGAATCCTTTTGGCTACTATTAGATGGATTTTCTTTTGGCTTTGACTGAAATCTAACACAAACACCTACTGCATATGAGATATCCGGACGGCTTGCAGTAAGGTAGAGTAGAGATCCAACTATTCCTCTGTAGAGAGTTTGGTCAACATCCTTTCCATCCACATCCAGGTCAAGCTTAGTGGATGTACTCATGGGGACAGAAACGGATGACTTTTGATCAACTTTGAATTTCTTTATAAGATCCCTTCTGTACTTGGCTTGATTGATGAGAGTCCCTTTACTTCTCTGCTTGATTTGAAGACCAAGGAAGTAGTTGAGTTCCCCCATCAATGCTCATCTCAAATTTTCCTTGCATGAGGGTGGAAAACTTGGTGCAGAGGGCTTCCTTAGTTGAGCCAAATATGATGTCGTCCACATAGATTTGGACCAATAGGAGATCTTCACCATCTTGAAGTTTGAACAAGGTTTTGTCAATGACACCTTTGATGAATCCATTGTCTATTAGGAATTCAGACAATGTATCATACCAAGCTCTTGGTGCTTGTTTGAATCCATATAGCGCCTTTTTGAGTATACACACTTGATCACCTTTAGTGTATAGCTCAAATCCTGGAGGTTGTTCCACAGGTTTTCGTTGAGGAAAGCGCTTTTTGAAAGGTAACCATGAAGGATACGCAGCGGAATGTAAAAATTTTAACATCTTAACATGATTATCTTGCCCAGAATCACGTACTAAAACTTATAGTAGTAAGAAATTTATACCTTTCTCCGTAAGCGGTAAAAACGAAGAAGTCATAGGAAGGGCGTTGAAAGTGCAAACGTAACCGTTCAAGCGTCCGGTCTCCAACTTTGACACACGAACAACGCCAGAGTCTACCACAATCTTTATGCTAGTAAAGATTATAGTAGTATAAAATATAAAGATTAAAATTTGGGATAATAATAATCTTGTATATTTCTATAGAAAATATTTCTAATAATATTTAGGAAATATTATAGATATTTTCTATATACAAAATGATATTAATGGAACCAAACTAATAATTTTCTCTCTTGAACTTGGTGATGTTGCCATTTGTTTCTTTGGATTTGGTTTTACCATTTCCCAGCTCGGGTATGCCCGTTCTATTTGTATATCCTACTCTTTAATCTATTTACATTTTATTGGAGAACATGGTGTATAATTATTTAAAGAGGATTTTAAAAACCAATCATACACTTAGGAAATTTCCTACATCTTTAAAATGCAAAGTCAAAACAATTTTGTCCCCATTAACATCACATGGCCGAAAGAAATATGAGAAAGTGAGAAGGATTTTCAAAATTTTTCTCCACTTAAATGTTCAAAGTGTATTTTATTTAACACCAAAAATTAATATAAAATTAATTTTAAATCAATTAAAATTACCAATATCATTTTTAAACAAGTATAAAAATAAACTTTAAATAGTTTATGTCAAAGTAATATATATATATATATATATACACACACACACACACACACACATATATATATATATGTACGTATATATATATATATATGTATGTATGTATATATATATATATGTGTGTATATATATATATATAATATTATATTCCAAAATATTTTACTTTACTATTTTTACAAATATACAAATTAATTATTATCCCATTGTTTAATCATACTCCTTAAATTGTCCAAAGTGTGTGGCCCGTATAGGCACTTATAAAGCTGGCCACAGTATTGGCTCTGCACCAATACTATAAGCAATAAGCGGTATCTAGTAACACATTATTGCCCCCAAATTATAAGTTAAGACGTTTGCACCGTCAAAACCTTTCCACGACTCAGACTCCGTGTAACTATATCCCTTTGTCTCAATGTCTAAACTTAATGCAAGGGATTAATAAAATCCAACTTGTATCCATTAAGTCATTCACTGATTTATCAAGTCTGACTGATAGGAACAGACGTCATAAAAACATCTCAGCATGGCCATGCAGTTTCCTCAGTCATGACTTATCAGTGGGCCCCATAAGACATTAATCTCTTAAAAAGAGTAGTGACAAATTCTATGTACGTATTCTACGTTTCTGAATACGCGCTGCGGCATACCCAAAACAAAGCCTGTATACCATCCTTATTTCATATGGCTTAGGACAATGCATCAAAGCATGCGGGTTCACATATGAAGAAAACGTAATACTTCAAGTCGAAGGATAGTTATACCCGTGGTCATGCTAAAGATGCTTAGAGCATGAACTAAAAAATTCAAGCAACATCTTTAGGATGGGTAAGTCCGGCATCCTATTATCTCCAGATAATATCTGCCCATGTGCGGATGCGAACACACCGTCATTGACTATGAGACTAAGTCAAACATCCAACACACACTAGTCTCACATGCATTAACGATATCCCACTCTCGTTAATACTCGACTATGGACATTTAGATAAATATTTATTTCAAGATGTTAGTCTCATCGGCAGAAAAATACTATCTGATAAACATCTTTTTAATATAAATGTAGGAATATAATATTTGTTTACATTAGCATGAGATGTGTAACCATATTATATCTGCCTATACATGATAGAATAACGATAAACAGTTGGCCATCAGGGCACAACTCCAACAACCTCCCACTTGCACTATGGCCAATCGGGCATCGGTCGAATGCCCATGGACCTAGTGTGACCCTCATGCTTTAGCTTTCCTAAAGGCTTGGTCAAGGGATCGGCTATGTTGTCGTCAGTATCTACTTTGCAAATCATCACATCTCCTCTGTCTATGATTTCTCGTATGATGTGATAACGTCATACAATGTGTTTAATACTAGGAACCACTCAAAGTTTAGTAATGAACTTCTTGATCCAAACAGCTTCTTTAGCTGCCTCGGGGGCAGCTATGTACTCAGCCTCTATAGTTGAATCGGCGGTTGTGTCTTTCTTGAAGCTCTTCCAGCTAAAAGCTCCGCCGTTCAGGCAAAACAAATATCCTGCTTGTGATTTTGAGTCGTCTCTGTCGGTTTGGAAGCCAGCATCAGTGTAACCGACCACTTTTAGCTCTTCCTCACCACCGTATACCAGGAATGCATCCTAAGTATTGTGAAGATACTTGAGGATGTTCTTGACCGCTGTCCAGTGTGCTTCTCCTGGACTTCCTGGTATCTGCTGTTCACGCTTAAAGCGAATGAGACATCAGGTACATATCATGGCGTACATGATGGATCGAATCGCAGAAGCATATAGAACCTTCATCATGAGTTCCTTCTGCTCGAGAGTAGGACTCTGGCTCTTGGAAAGAACTGTGCCGGGTGTCATAGGTAAAGATCCTTTCTTTGAGTTAGACATGCTAAATCGATCAAGGATTTTATCTATATATGTACTTTGATTCAGACCTATTAACTTTCTTGATCTATCTCGGTAGATTCTTATGCCAAGGACATAACTAGCATCCCCTAAGTCTTTCATGGAGAAGTTCTGGCTCAACCACGTCTTTACAGAAGTGAGAGCGGGAATATCGTTACCCATTAACAATATGTCATCGACATATAAGATTAGGAATACTATTACACTCCCAGTGACCATCTTGTATACACAAGATTCGTTAGAGTTCTTCTCGAAACCAAAACTGGAAATGGTTTCGTTGCAGCGTATGTACCAACTCCGAGATGCTTGTTTCAATCCGTAGATTGAACGTTGCAGCTTACAAAATTTGGCAGATTGACCAGCAAACGTTGAAAGTGCAAACATAACCGTTCAAGCGTCCGGTCTCTAACTTTCACACACGAACAACGCCGGAGTCTGCCACAATCTTTATGCTAGTAAATATTATAGCAGTATAAAATATAAAGATTAAAATTTGGGAGAATAATAATCTTGTATATTTCTATAGAAAATATTTCTAATAATATTTAGAAAATATTATAGATATTTTCTATATACAAAATGATATTAATGGAACCAAACTAATAATTTTCTCTCTTGAAAATAGTATGGCCGAATCACCTTCACCACTTAACAATGAACATGGTGTATAATTATTTAAAGAGGATTTTAAAAACCAACCATACACTTAGGAAATTTGCTACATCTTTAAAATGCAAAGGCAAAACAACTTTGTCCCCATTAACATCACATGGCCAAAAGAAATATGAGAAAGTGAGAAGGATTTTCAAAATTTTTCTCCACTTAAATTTTTGAAGACCCACTTGCATCCAATGGGTTTTACCCCTTCGGGCACATCAACCAAGGTCTAGACATGGTTTGTGTACATAGACTCCATTTCAGATTTCATGGCTTCGAGCCATAGATCGGATTTGGGGCATGTAATTGCCTCGAGATAGGTCTCTGGTTCGCCTTGATCTACCAATAAGACGTCACCCTCATCAGACATGAGAAATCCATATCTAACTGGAGGATTACGTATCCGGTCTGACCTACCTGGTATATCTTGAGCAATTTGAGGTTCAATTGCTTGATCTCTTTACTCTGATTCTAACACTATCGAGACTTCTTCTTGTGGTTCTCGAATTTCTTTGAGGTCTACCTTTCTCCTACTAGTGATAGCAGAAAGAAACTCCTTCTCAAGGAAGGTTCCATTCCGAGCAACGAAAATTTTGTTATCAGATGGATGATATAACTCATACCCTCTAGTGTCCTTGGGGTATCCCACAAGAATTACTTTATCAGATTTAGGCTCTGACTTACTAGACGTCATGAGACGTTTTACATAAGCTTCACAGCCCCAAATCTTAAAGTACGAGAAACTCGGTTTTCTCCCACGCCATAGTTCGTATGGGGTGCTCTCAACTGCTTTTGATGGAACTCTGTTGAGTGTGTGCTGCTGTTTTCAATGCATATCCCCAAAATGATTCTGGCAATGTTGCCAGACTAATCATGCTCCGGACCATGTCTAGTAAAGTCCGATTTCTCCTCTCAGACACTCCATTTAACTGAGGTGTCCCCGGAGGAGTGAGTTGGGATAAGATCCCATGCTCTTTCAGATAGTCATCGAACTCCAGGCTTAAGTATTCACCTCCTCGATCCAAGCGGAGGGTCTTAATACTTTTGCCTAATTTTTTTCTACTTCATTATTGAATTCTTTGAATTTGTCAAAGCATTCTGATTTGTGTTTCATGATATACACATATCCATATCTATTAAGGTCATCATTAAATGTAACGAAGTAAGAATAACCACCTCTAGCAACAGTGTTAATTGGACCACACACATCAGAGTGTATGAGGCCCAATAAGTCACTCGCCCTTTCACCGTGACCGGTGAATGGAGCCTTTGTCATTTTACCAAGTAAACAAGATTTACATACATCATATGACTTGGAAGTCAAATGAATCAAGTACACTTGAGCAATGTAACTTAGATATGCGTTTCTCTTTAATGTGGCCCAAACGACAATGCCATAGGTACGCGAGATTCAAACTGTTAGGTTTGTTTCTCTTAACATCTACGTTATATACTGCGGTATCCATGTCAATGACATAGAGACCGTTGGTCATTTTTGCAGTTGCATAAAATATATCATTTCTAAAGACAGAAAGAGTTTTGTCTTTTACAACGAATGAAAATCCTGCTTTGTCAAGGCAGGATACAGAAATGATGTTTCTGCTTATACTAGGTACAAACAGACAATTATTCAAATGCAATATAAGACCACTAGGTAGAGATAAACTATAGGTTCCGATGGCCAATGCATAGACGAGTGCGCCATTACCGACTTTTAGTTGTATCTCTCCCTCCGTCAATTGTCTACATTCATGCAGATCCTGCATAGAAGTACAGATGTGAGAACCACATCCAGTATCCATCACCCAAGAGGTGATATCAGACATATTGACTTCGATAACGTAAATACTTGAGTTTTGGGGCTGACCCTGGTAAAGGTCTCTTGAGCGTTGAATCATATGACGCACTTCCATGTCCGCGTGGAGCCTTTGGAGCTCCGCGGTCATACTGGCCATAATGATACACTTTACATCTCGCGCCTCGTCCTCATACTTCTTGAAGGAAGTTAGTTCGGACGCACGAGTATTAGCATCAGGGGTCTTGGGAGGATCTGTTTCAAGGATGTAGAGTTTCCTCTCACAGTTAAGAACGATTCAGAGGTTCATCTCCTAGTCAAGAAAGTTGGTCTCGGATAACTTGTTGTTTTCCAGGATGTAACGCAGGTTGAAAGGGTTGTTGTTGTTTGCCATCTACAGAAAATTTTGCAAACTAGGTTATCTATCATGTTTAATAATTAATTAGGCCTTGAATTAATTATCTCCCACTATTTTTAACAAATCAATAACCCTTGATATTGATTCGGAGATTTCTGGCGAAACCTCTAGTGGGCCAAGATCCATATTTCATTATCTTGCGTTTCGCTTGGGCGTTACTCCACAAGACAACTATTTTGGTAGGAACATAGTTCCAACTGATGAGCCGGGCTCTCAGCTCTTGGTCTGGTGTTGGGCGAACAATATTACTACAACCGGACCAGGACACCTTTTCACCATACTTGTAATTGGCTGAGGCACGTCTTACAAGTAGACTACTTTGGTTAGGAATAGAGTTCCAATTAAATCATAAAGATCCAACTCCTTGCTCGATGAGTGAGTAAAATCATCCGACTTGTCATTGATGACCCCAACTTACTGCCTCTAAGTCGTCCATCCATTTGACCGAGACTCAGTTAAGTCTAACCCAACGTGCGACATCGACCACGCTATGGCGGTTCCCGTAACCAGCTTAACATACACCGTACTATGCTCTGCTGAGGCTGAGTACATGACAGTGCACATTAGCCGGATAGGTGTCGGGCGTCAGAAGGCAACAGACTTAATATTCGTGAGGGATTTATAATTTCTATCTCACCTATCGACATGGCAGCGCACATGTCCATTACTAGCGTTCAACATACATTTAACATGCATTCACAAAACGCAGTAAATAAATGTGTAATGATTGTGGCCCCTAAAAGAAAAATAAAATGATAGCTCCCACTGGCTTCTGGGCACTTGGACTTCGGGCTATCTCCATTCTTTTATATTTATTCGAACGGTCTTCAAATCTATTCGTCTTCAAACCACCACGTGAGAAAAGAATCCTCAGTTGAGGTAAGAGAGAGAAATAGATTTACAACAAGAGTTTAAAAGATAAGGCACGACACGCAGGCTTATTATAATCAAATAAACTATAGCCACAATCATCCACCATGCATATCATACATCCACACAAGCAATAGAGATATACATACACCGGGTGAGCCGCGCTCACCCCAGACAGTTCTAGAAAAATACTACGGTAGTAAATATTTTCTAAAACTCATAAAATTAAATTAGATGTCCAAATAAATCTAATAAAATTTTATAAAATCATTTTATATACTCTGGATATTCTTCCAGAATAAAAAAATCCAGAATATTCCAAATGACCAAAATGCCCTTTTTGCAAAATTATATTAAAAAAGGCCATTAAAATTTTGAAACAATTTTGCAAAAATCACGAAAATTAAATTTCAACTTCCAGTAATTATTTTCAACATTTATAAACCTGGAAATATAATTTCCAAAATTTATAAATCATTATTTCCAAAATATATTAGTAAAATCTCAATAAGTTATAAAAAGCCATTTAAATTATTTTCGAGAACATTAAATAATAAAAATTTAATATTTTGAAAACATTCCTTTTCTTACTGAGATATAACTTTCAAAAATATATATTAGTCATTTATTTAATAAAAATACAAATATATAATATTTCAGTAATAATACCGAGTACATATATAAATATATGTTTATTTAATTACTAACTAATACTCCCTCCGTCCCCATAAGATGTTCTCATTTTGACTTTTGGTGGTTTTTAAAGAGAGTTGAAAAAATGTAAAAGTTTACCATAATACCCTTAATGAAAATGGGTGGAGTGTATTAAATGAGGTGTGTGAGGTGTAATAAATGAAGTAAGTGGGGGTAGTTGTGGTATTTTAATTGTTAAAAAATGAAATGTGAAGATCTATTGTGGACAAAGAAAAAGGGCTATTGGGAAGATCTATGGGGGACGGAGGGAGTATTATTTTGTACAATATATTTATCAACAACCTTATTTAAATTAGAAATAATATTTCCAAGTTTAATAAATTTCATTTTGAACTTTCCCATATTTATTTTCGGTTTTCACCTAAATAAATACAATAAATTCAAAATAGGAAATAATACATTCAAAAATTATAGTATAATTCTATCAATCATAAAATGATGTTTTGTGTCCAAATAAAATTATATTTACTATTTCTACAATATATATAAATATATATTTTGAAAAATCAAAATATAAATATAAATATATATATATATATATATATATTTCGGGTAGAAATAAAATAAATAAATTTAAAATTTATTTTCAATGATTTATTTTATTCCAATACTTATTCCAAGACTAAATTAAATCATTTTACTAATTTTTTAATTTTAATAATTACCAAGTTAAAACTTCGTCTTTTAAAATTTAAAAAGTCAAACTTAAAACTATAGTTTTGTACGTTGGCTCTGATACCACTTAAAGGTAACCATGAAGGATACGCGGCGGAATGTAAAAATTTTAACATCCTAACATGATTATCTTGCCCAGAATCACGTACTAAAACTTATAGTAGTAAGAAATTTATACCTTTCTCCGTAAGCGGTAAAAACGAAGAAGTCGTAGGAAGGGCGTTGAAAGTGCAAACGTAACCGTACCGTTCAAGCGTCCGGTCTCCAACTTTGACACACGAACAACGCCGGAGTCTACCACAATCTTTATGCTAGTATAAAATATAAAGATTAAAATTTGGGATAATAATAATCTTGTATATTTCTATAGAAAATATTTCTAATAATATTTAGAAAATATTATAGATATTTTCTATATACAAAATGATATTAATGGAACCAAACAAATAATTTTCTCTCTTGAAAATAGTATGGCCGAATCACCTTCACCACTTAACAATGAACATGGTGTATAATTATTTAAAGAGGATTTTAAAAACGAATCATACACTTAATGAAAAATTTGGAAATTTCCTACATCTTTAAAATGCAAAGTCAAAACAATTTTGTCCCCATTAACATCACATGGCCGAAAGAAATATGAGAAAGTGAGAAGGATTTTCAAAAATCTTCTCCACTTAAATGTTCAAAGTGTATTTTATTTGACACCAAAAATTAATATAAACACTGGGAATAGTCATCATTCCTCATTTGCAGAAGAGGCTTCGGGATTGAATAAATCAGTTATAGGTTCTCCCAAAGATTCTAGTCAGGATGTTAATGCTTTGGTCCTTTACCCCAGGCCTTATGTGACTTCGGATTCACTTCCTAAAACCTGCTCTAATATCACCCCTGGTTAAGTAAATGGATATACCAGTATGTTCATAGGAATAGACGGAGTATACGGAGAATGCATAATTATAACGGAGATAAGGGCATACTGGGGAGTATATGGCATGGTACAACTCTAAAAGCTAAGAGTACATACTTTTTGGATGGAATGGTGCATATTGTTCTTTGTTTAGTACCTCAAAATGAAATTGGCAATATCTAGAATATATTTGACGATATATTTCCAATTCATAGTAAGTCAATAAAAATAATGGGAGCAGTTTATCATAGGGTGTATGATGATTACAGTTTAAAGCAACTGGTAACTTTAAGTGGGGAACATTTTTCACCAAACACCTAAAAAAGTGGGTAATGCATACTACTCTCTATTTCGATCACAACATCCATAACGTCTTCCAGTGAGAATCTGGATTCAAATATTCACATTTATACAAAAAAAACTGTGTAAAATGATTGAATACAGTGAAACAGGTTTTCAATTGGGAATAGTAAAGCTTAAAAAATATAATTTTTAACTTCTATATACTAATAAGTACTTAATCCATCTGAAAGGTTAACATTCATTAATCCAAAATAATAATCCCTACCGTAGGTAGAAGAGAAGCAAAGACTTGTAATTATTTACTTCGTATAAAGAATGAGAAGAAATTTGTTATTGATCTCATGAGAATAAAAAAGCAAAATAGTGAGAAAACATGCACAAGATGGAAATAAAAAACAGAACGTCTTGGCGGGTTTATTTGATTGCACTTCTTACCAAAGCAAACCCTTGGGCGTGGCAAATCAGTTGAAGAAGTGGAAAAATCTTATGCATCCAAGGGTTAACTTTCCCCGATACCCTCTGTCCTGTGTTGGTCTCCAATTTGAAGGCACACTGCCATAACCTATAAAAAAATTAAACTCTGTTATAGCATCAACAGTTGCAATTTTATCAAGAGTTTTAATTTCATTATCACACTATAACTACTCTATTATAGTATCAATTGTTATCACACCATAACTGAACTATTAATCTATTTTAAAGGTACTACATGTACAAATCAATTTGTTTGTCAATAGAAGCTGATAAGTGGATAATTGTTTTCTAAAACGCATAGGATAAATGTCTGTAAAGAAAAAAATCTTTATAAACAATTATAATAAATAAGATTAATATTCTCTAAAATAAATTTGTCAAACATGACCAGTGAGGTACACGTGATAAATGTCATTCAAATATAGAAAGTCCTGGTCTATGAATCAGAATGCAGCCTAAGCTGAAATGCATATGACTTTAACTCGTGATCAAATAGTGTTCTTGCTTAATTACTGGATCTGAAATTAAATTCTTACAACTAAATAGGACATATGATGATCATTTGTTAAATAATGGCCCGAGAGATTTAATGCTTTCGAATATGAGCATGTTGGGATAGTAAAATACTAAAATGTAAAATTAGACTTAAAGGAATTCATGAAGATCCACCAAAATGGATGACAGTCCATTTCATTAAAGGATACCTTTGAATATGTAAAGTTTCAAGGGGTCTTTTGAACCTAAAAATCAAATTCTAATAATGGTCATTTATGGAGAAAAGATGGAGGACAACATGAGACAACAAAAGTCATAGTGATAGCAAAACAATAGTCATAGTGAGTAAAAACTAAACATGATTTGTTTAAATTTGAATAAAAATAATTATTATGCTAAAAAAAATCACTTGAGGTCTAATCCAAGAAGAACCTACTATTAAAGCTAATTCCCACTTACAAGATAAATCTTTCAAGATTCTAACAAATGCAAGCCCTAATGAACTCGCTATCAAATCAAACAATAAAAAATGAAAGCTGCATAAATAGAAAAGAGAATGCAATTATTCTACTTTAAAGTCAAAATCTTACTCATTTTTACTCCAAATGATCCTCTAATGCTCGAGAATTTAATTAAGCATTGTACATAACAAGTTACTACATTCCAAAAAATACCAAAAATGAATGGACAACATTCAGGCAAAATTATCATCATGTTCGGCAACAAAATCACTAATAAACAATAAAATTAGAAGATAAATTTTCTAAACTTTAAAGGAAAACCTGATTTTTATACTAAACATATACTGAGATTTTGAGAGAAGTTTGTCTTCCTCGGCGTAGCCACAATATGCACTCTATTTAACGAAATTGACATATTAATGATTTAATGCAATAGAGGAATTACATAAAACACGAAAAGTGCCAAAAAAAACGAATACCATAGATGTATAACAGATCACGCTAGGATATGATTTCAATACGTATACTGTAAACCTCCTACAGTGATTATAAATAGGTACACAGTAAAAAATTGAAAATTGAAAAGTATAACATATAATCTAATTCAGAAGAGAGAATTGCTAGCGCATTACCGGATTTTTTGGATGACCAGGTGCTGCCCGGCTTTGTGAAGAAAAAATGGAGGAAACGGCTTCAACGTAATTCTTTTTCTAGCTGATAATAGCTCATCAATCATTATCTTTGAGGAGGAAGGCTAAACACACAAAACTAAAATGAAAAAAAAAATCATTCCGCGTTGCATAAATGGACATAACGGCGTAGGGTTAAAGTGTGAATTAAAAATCTAAGTACAAGATCCAAAGCTAAATGTACTGTTTTTTGGATGGAAAAAGAGCATAATATTAAGAAGTGCATAACCCTCTTTTACATTTATATAATACAGAAAGATTCAATATTTGTATGAGTGAGGCAAGAGATACAAAAAGAATAAATAGTGAGGGCTGTAAAGGCAAAAGTAATTACACATTGGGTGTACAGGAAAAACAATTAAATTAGAATTCTTAAGTATTTGTCAATTTCATTGTTTGGTTCAAATATTAATTCAATAGAGCTAAATTCTAAGAATTCACTCATTTATGATGAAAAAATACTGATCATATGATGTAAATAAGTCAACTCATACAAGTAAAAATGTGAAGTATTAAACCATAAAAGAATAGTACTATGGTAAATATTGTTACTGCAAGTTTGAAGATATCCATACCAGAAAAATAGCAACACCACTTGATATAGCAACAACATTAAAAATCAGACATTGATGAGTTTGTATGCTGTGAGTAAGATTATATGAGCAGATCATATCAGAATCATACCTAAGAAACACTAAGCACATGTAAAAATCAAGAAGGTAGAAGATATATAACCGAGCAAAAAACTGCTGGTTTGGGCCCCCGACACCATCTATTTTCCAACCTAAAAATTACACCTTAAATTGAAATTTCCAACAATAATTTATCATTGTATAAAAGTATAATTCTTCAAAAATCAAATATCCAACAAATCAAACAGCACCAAGCTAACCAATTAATCCATATACAAACAATATTCACACTTTCAAAAATTCCTAAAAATTGGAATTCAATAAATATAGAATATAAAGAGAAGATTATTAGGGATTTGGATTAGAGATGCATTGGGTGTACCTCGTCGGAAATAGACAGCGGCAGTGGCTGGGAACTTGAACGGTATCTAATTAATCCATTTACAAACAATATTCACACTTTCAAAAATCACTAAAAATGGGAATTCAATAAATATATAGAATATGCAGAGAAGATTATTAGGGATTTGGATTAGAGATGCATTGGGTGTACCTCGTCGGAAATAGACAGCGACAGTGGCTGGGAACTTGAACACTGAGCGTTGAGACGGCGACCTAGAGCTCTGGTCGGAAGCTGCAACTCTGTGGACCTATTGTTTTGGTTATAACAGGGAAAGAAATCGAAGGGATTAGCTACCCGAGGCTGGAAGCAACTACTTTAGTGATTTGGATTCTGGCTAGAATAAGCAAAGAAGGTGAGGGATTAAAGCTACACCGTACAGATCAAGAATTCGTAAGCTGTGTTATCTCTTTAGGTATACAGCTGAGGCGATAAGAAACTAACGGAGGTCACTATCATTGAGGACAAATAAGGGAAAATTTCAACATGTACAACGTCTAAAGCATAAAAGTACAAATATATTGGATGGAAAAGGTGCATCTTTACCAAGGGTACCAAACCTTCTCTCCCATTTATATATTATAGAGGATATATATATATATATATATATATATATATATATATATATATATATATTTTATATACTAAATAAAGATCTTATTGAGAAGGAAAAGAGTACAGGGTGGGGGTGGCCAATCCCGACAAAAGGCCAAAGCAAAACGAAAATGCGAATACAAAAGGAAAATCCAAAAGGAAAGGGGGCACATCCCAAAGTACAACCCCCAAAAATCGTTTTCCTCTTGACCCAACATCACAACAGGAGCTAGCAGTGAATAGGGACCAGGCCTATGTGATTGTCTTTCCAGTAGATAGGATACCAGCTAATTGAACCTGCAAGTGACAGCCTCAAAACTGTTCCTCAATATCGTAGAGTCCCTTCAAGAGAAGATTTAATAATTTAAGTCCCAAGAACAAGAGAAAAAGCTTCCCTCGTTAGATATACTCGCAAAAATCAGTAGAACCAATAGCTTCTAAATCTTGTTCCCCCCAGTAATGGTTCCACCATCTAGGCTAAGGGGCTGAAATTGCAGTGAATCCATCCTAAAAAGACCCTTGCCTACATTGCCATACACTTTAAGCAGAAATATGGTGGTGAAGATCACCAACCCATCCAACCCCAATATGCAACTATAGAAAACCTTATTTTTTGTTTTCCTTGTAGGAACTAATCAGAATAAAAGGGCGAGCACCTAAAGATAATCACCTAACAAAACCTCAAAAAAATAGAATGTAAAAAGAGAAAGAGTCCAAATCTTCCAGGAACCACCCTATTCAGAATAAACAGCTCATAAAAAACTTTGTAGACCACCCAAACTTGCGAAAACAGCATCCATATCCTCTTTTGCATAAGCAAGAAATACTGGGTATTTTGTCCCTTCAACCTCTGCTATATCAATAACTTCAAAACTTTTAATAGACTCCCTTGTCATCCTAATCGCTTGCCCTGAAAAGTTCAAAACCTGACCTTCTTTTAGTGCTGTCAAGAATTGTTTTTGGCCAAGGGACTCTTGGAATAAGTTGAAGTTATCTGTGATGACTTGTTCAAGCAGATTAATGCAAGCTTGGTTTGGTTGGGCCTCAGGTTTAAATGAAGGCTTACCCTTACTAGCCAATACCTGTGAAGCCGTTTCCATCGTTTCGATATCCAAATTCAGAAGCTCAGAAGAGATTGAAAGTTGCCGCGTAGTATCCTCATCGTTAGTCCTATCCCTAATCATAGTGCATTCTTCATCATCCTTTGATCCGGAAGTTCCAGTGTTCTCACCCGCCTTCAAGCTTGCAAATTCATGACCACCCTGTTCCCTTTCCTTGGGTTCAGACAGCCCAAATCTGTAATCTTCTGGAGTTTTGGCAATTTCCTTGAGTGTTTGGACAAAGAGTTCAATTCCCTCTGAGTCTAGACCCACTGGAATGAACACCTGCTTTGAATTTCCAGGAATTCCTGATCTAAGCCTTACAAAACTGCCAAAACGGTTAGAATCCCATAAGAAAGAAGTAGTGTACTGTCCCTCAAATCTAGAAATGCTCCAACCATCCTTTGCGATTGGGGGATGATTTAAACATTCACTTAGCCAAAGAGCCGTGCCCCTAGAGAAAGATACAGTGTGACTCTTACCTCGTTTCGTCTCTGTAACACTAATGGAATCCGATGACTGGAAATCGAAAAACTTACTCTCAATTGAGATCGAGAGAAGCCCTGTGTATCTAGCCACCACACGACATGGTTGTTTGTCCCTTCCCCACAGTTGGTTTCCGCTCCATCTTGCTGATTTATTTCTGTGATTTGAGCGATCTCCTCTCGTGTAGCTCTCCCACGTGAGCTGTTGTCTCCGCCATGGATGAAAAACCCCTCCTTCGTTCATCATCTGCCCGGTTTATATATATATATATATATATATATATATATATATATATATATATATATATATATATATATATATATATATATATATATATATATATATATATATATATATATATATATATATATATATATATATATATATATATATATATATATATATATATATATATATATATATATATATATATATATATATATACATATA